CTGATTCACAAAAAAGATTTGAATCATTAGTTTGGGAATCTGTGGTTGAACTATACTGTTCAAGCTGTGTGGGTCTCATTCATTACAAAGAATCACTGGTTGTGCTGTATGTTTTTGATTCACTATGAACCAGTTCATTCGAATGGGAATCAAACCGTTACAATGTGTGTTTTTTCCTCACTAAAAAGAACCAGCTCATTAGAATCACACTGTTTGGCACAGTAGATTTAGTAGCATTGTTGTAGCACCCTTAACCGTAGTACAGGAAACACTTCCGCATGGGCGGAATATATATATTAATATTTTATATATATTTATTTAAATGAACAGCTAATAACCAGAACACTAATCCAATTCTTGAGTGTCAAATATAGGACAAAACAGTATAAGTGAAAGGACAAGTCTGCTAAACAAGGGAATTTAAATCATTTAAAGAGTAAAAATGAATAATTTCTGAATTAAGGTTTTACAAGAGGTTCTGGTCCAATGTGAAAGAGGACCATTTATGTAAGCACGCAAGAGCAAACTAGGGCAAATAAAGACAGAGAAATTAAATTCCTAAATCGCTACACTCTGCTCTCATTCCCCCCAAAACCATCCTTGATGGACATCTCCTTCCATTTCATCAACCCGGAGAGAACACATCACATCTTTATTCAAAACATATTATTGAACTTGGCTCTCAACATGCTGCTTTGGTTAGTCTGAGAGCATTCCAGGACCAATTTCATGTTAATGTATAACACAAAAGAGGCCATTGGCAGGGCTCTTTAATAGGCATGGCAATTAAAACTTTGCTGCCAAAACCTGTCTTTGTTGTTACTGGCTTGTGGTCGTCCCTGTAAACACAGTCTCTGGGCAGTTCACAGGGAGCTCCATCGCTTTTGTGGTTTTGCCATTCTTCACTTTACATGTTCATGCAGAAAGTGAAAATACTTTCCTCTGCGTGACTATCCAGGGAGCGGAAAAAAAGGGGCAACAAAGTTACACCTCCCGAGCTGTGAGGTTATATTAATAGCTCTTGTACAGCTGTTTCTGTTTGGTGCTGTGTTTGACACTTGTGTGCACAGATCAGAAGTGAGATGTTGCTTTCAGGGTTTTGTATCCCTTTGGCACGGGCCTCTCAGGAGGAAGAGGAAACCACAGCTCTGCCCGCAAAGGCACTCCAGGAACAAGCAGCACTGTAAACATGTATTGGACCGGCTCAAAATAAAACAGGCCGGCGAATACAAAACATGCATGCGTGACTATTTATAGAGCCCGAGCGTCAGAAAAAAACATAACATTTACAGCACTGTAGAGTCATGCCAATTACGTGTAATAAATACTCTTGTTATGCTATAATATGATTATGCTCGTAATGTGACAAGCCAAAACCATGAACGCCTCGGGTCATGCGATAATTACTCTTTTACTGTATCTTAGGCATTGTCATTTCAAACATATCACTGCGACTTTCAAAAAGTGATCGCATGGTGGATTATTATTCGGCTGTTCAGACAGCAACAGAAATGTTTCACGTCTCCAATAGATACCTGAGCTACTGAATGACAAGTTATTCACTACACAATGAGACATGACACAAAACCAATGAGCAGGAGAGAGATTCAAGGCCTTCAGACAGCTGCGGAACGGTGAGAGATTATTCCTCTCAAATCCACTTCTTGTCGGCTCCAGAGCCAAACAAAAGCTCCAAGGAGTAAACAAGGATGGCCCTCCTCTTGGCAAACAGACTGAGGAAACTGCCCTCACTTGCCTTCTTTTCTCTGATCCACCATCTCCACGCTAGGGCTGGTCAGAGAAACATGAGCGTGACAAACACATTTAGCCGCTAATAAAGGGCACCCACCATGCCGAGAGTGGCAGGAGATAACCAGCACAAATAATCAGAGGAGTCTGGGACGAAGAGAGCTTTAAGAGGCAGTTTTGCCCTTTTCAAAGCGAGACATTGATCAGATCCCCTCGCCTCTGAGCCATGCTAATTAGCTGAAGACGAGCGGTGATGATGTCACGATCGATTTGGCGGACGTGAGGAGGTCTTTATCTGTTGCCCTTCCCATCGCGAGTGAAATACTGAACGAATGCGATGCATATGCTCAAATTTCATGAGGTGAATTCAAAATCTGTGTTCAAAAAATCAACAAAATCTATGATAGCTTGTTTCCGCCTCAGAATAAAAATAAAGGTAATTGTGTTTAAAAAAAAAGGTTTAAAAAGTCACAATTGTGAGATATAAAGTTGTGCATATGAGATGTATAGTCACAATTATGAAATTTTTTTTAAAATTCAACCAAAATTTAGATAAATATAAAGTTAATAGTTTAAAAAGATAAAATGTCACATTTTGAGCTGTCAATTTTGAGATGTCAATTGAAATAAAATATATATTTTCACATATAAGATATGAAATTGCAATTGTGAGAAAGTCAGCTTGTTTCCACCTCGGAGTAAAAATAAAGGTAATTGTGAGTTTAAAATAATAAGTCACATTAAAATATTAAAAGTCAATTTTGAGATCTAAAGTTACAATTATGAAAATTAAAGATGCAACTGTGAGATACAAAGTTTCAACTGTGAGATGTATACTATTATGTCACTATTATGATAAATTAAGAGAGATAAAATGATAAATCAGTTTCTCAACTGTGAGAAATAGCTTCAGTTATGAAAAAGTTGTGAGATAAAGTCACAACTGAGATATGAAATTGTGACTGAGAAATTATTCTCACAATTAGCCTACTTTTTTTTTTATAAAGTAGGCTAATAACCATCCTATGGTGCCTAAACAGGAAAGTTCAGTCCACTTTATGTCAGTAAAGGCATCACAGAGGCTGTTTACGTAATCAATCAATGCTACATCTTATAACTCTAAGCTCTTTTCTTTTGCTTTTTAAGCCTATCAAAACAAGCAGCTACTAACTGACTGCTTACAGTGTTTCTGTTTTAACTCAGCTGCGCTGAAGGTGCATTGCATTAATGAGACACAAACAAGGACGGGCAAACATTACAGAATAATAGCCCTAACATAACAAGAAAAATGTGAGGGAGAGCATGAACATACTCGCGTACACACACGCACAGGAAGAGCGTGAGTGTTCCTGAGTGCATAATGACCTTTGCTAAGGGCTCACAGAGATGGAGGAAAACAGACTGAAACTAAAAGGCTCCTCTGGGGAGTTCATTAGGTGCAGGTAAATCTGACAGCACATTAGACACATTCCTCCTGAATAAGTTTCAAGACGAGCAGCACCTCTCCAGGAGCAGGAATGAAAATGTTCCTCTTTAGTAGGATGACAAAAACAAAACGGATTATATGGAGCGACTTTAGAATTATTCGCAACCGAAGTAAAGGCAATTTATTTCTCTCACTCTTAGAGTCACAATGAAACAGAAGTAGTGACAGATCTTTTCTGAATGAAATAGAAAAAAAAAAGTAGGGCAGAACTTGGTTCTATAAGTTGGTAAATCATTGTAGAAGCCCTGCATATGTCACCAGGGTGAAGTCTAATGTTTCACCGGAAGATGGAGTTATGACAGTTTTGATGAAAATTTCGAGCTGAAATTTTTTTTTGTTTTAAGAAATCAAACATATGCATTGATGAACTATTCACTATCTATAACATGCATTTAGAAAATAGGGTGAATTTTCGTTTTATGCCAACTTTAATGTAGCCTTGATTTACAAGCGCCTGCCAAACATAATGCAAACTTTGAGAAGAACTTTGGAGAAGTCAGTCATACAAGTCAGTCATGCCGGTTTGGAATGACATGAGGGTTAGTAAACAAAGACATTTTTTTATTTTTGGGTGGACTATCCCTTTAAATCACATCATGCGCTTGAGTTGGGACAACCACATCCAAGCCCAGTGTATTCCAGTCTAGATAAGATAAGGATATGGTCACATCCAGATATCACTGAACAGTGGAGTTTACAAGTCAACTGGAAACAAACACAACTGCAGCAGCCTCTCTCTCTCTCTCTCTGCAGAAATGCAAAGACGCCCCTCCTGTTGTGGTGTTAGTTTCACTTCTTGTGATATTAAAAGGAACACAACAAAGGTTATCTCTCTAGAACCTCGCCAGGAAGGTAGAGTAAAGTACAACACTTATGAGTTATGACTGCCCGAAACTGTAAGCCTGCCCTTGTTGGGCTACATTCCTACACATCAAGTTTGGGATTACACGGGACGTTCTATTTTGAAAAATGGTCACGAAGAGTGCGATTAAGTTAGCTTAATACGTGAACTCACGGAGGAGGGAAAGTACAAATAGAACATCACAGACTCTCTTCCTCCCTGTGACGCTGTCGTCCCTGCCGGAGCCCCTGGGCGACCCTGCACACTCAGCTATCATTAGATCAAAGGCCGTGGGCACCGTGCTCTTAATATGAGCCTGTAATAGGTGCGCCAGCAGGGCCACGCTCTGTTCAGCGATGTCACAAAGGTGCTTCATTAAGGGTTCCTCTTCTGGCAGCTTTCATTAAGGAAATTAATGTGGAGGGGCGAGGACAGCCTGCGTTTATGCCGCGAGAGAAAGCCGGCGCGCACAAAAAGGAACTACACAATAACAAATCTGCATCTCTTTGGAGCGTCGCCCCCAGGGCCTATCATCCCAGCCTTCTTAATCACCATTAAAACAACTTCATTGTGACATTCAGAGCCTGCTGAATGATCACATCCAACCATAGCAATGTGACTGCAACAGCCCTTTGGATTTAAATTCTGCATCTGAAAGATAAGAGGTCATTGCCAAGGGCGAATTCATTTCACACTGAGCAACATCGAAAGCCGCCAGAGAAAACGGCATTCTATTCTTAAGATGACCTTGTTTGAGGCTATTCACTAATATTTACAGAGGAAATCTATCAACATCATTCCAACTGTAAATAACTAAAAGTGTTTCTGGGGTTTGTGTTATTTCTTTTTAACACAAGACGGTCCTGATCTAAAAATGTGATTATGAAAACCTAATTCTGAATAGATGAAAACTGACCCACGCACCTTTGGTCATTACAGTTCCTTCTTTGCCTTGGGTGAAGACAACAATCCTCTGCCTTTTCTTGTTCTCTTTGGGCAAGCTTTGGGCCTTCTTCGCAATCTCCTCAATGTCTTCAGTCTGCACGAGAGAAAAAAAATAAAACACATACTTGAGGGTAAGAAGCAAATATTAAGTTATTCTAGATCAGATTAGATTTACTTTAATACTGCACCTTGTAAAGCCTGAGTCATATCTACTGAGCATGTTTAGTGACTGCAATTGCCAACTACATCTCACTCACAACGGCTGTTGTGTTGAAATGCTAAATGTCATGTATAATCACATCACTCATGACTCATGTATTCATTCCAATGAAATGTTTAAATGCTAACAAGATACTAAAATGACATATCGCTCAGTGGTTTTAAAGCAATCCACTGATGTTTTCAATCTTCTGGCTTTTGAATGGCTACATTTGCAATACACCGATTTTCTTTCAAGAAAAAAGTTGGGACAAAAGTTGGACAGTTGTTTGAAATAATCGGAGAGAATCAATGCTTGAATAAACAAGTTGAAATGTCACTCTGATTGTCAACAAAAACAGAAGAAATGGCAAAACTGATGCTCTGAAAATAAGTTCTGTTAGAGGGAACGAGAGCTACAGAGGTGATACCAACGTCAGATCTCTTTAGCATTCAAATGCTTCTTTAGGACTAAATGAGGCAGGCAGTTATTCAGAAATTCACAATTCAGTAAAACAGATGTTTTGGAGAGGATGCAAATAGATTTAACATACAATTGTGCATATTTGTGTAGACTAAGACAACAGTAATATGTAACACTATCTCTGTATATTAAAAAATATATTTCTATGGCTTTCAGGTTTACTAGTTAAAACAGTCAGACAGACTGACTGACATAAAACACTTGGTTGCAAACTATATGTGTTTGATTCACTAAAAAGCATAATTCAAAGGAACCAAACATTCAGAGTCATTCATTTGGGAACTGGCAGAGCTGTGTGGGTTTGATTCATTACAAAGAATAAGACTCATAATCGGACTACACTAGTCACACAGTATGTTTTTAGTTAATTTAGAACCGCCTCATAAGAGTCATTCGTTGGGAATCTGACAACACTGGTCGCACTAAGTTTTTGATTAAAAAAGAACCGGCTTATAAGAGTAATTCGTTTGTGAATCTGACTACACTAGTCATGCTGTATGTTTTTGATTCACTAAGAACCAGATTATAAGAGTCATTCCATAGGAAATCAGACAACACTGGCCGTGCTGCATGTTTCTGATTCACTAAGAACCAGCTCATAAGAGTCATTCATTTGGGAAACAGACTACACTGGTCGCACTGTAGACTCTTCAAGAGTCTTAAATAGTAGTGCAGGAAATTCTGTCGTATTTTTGTACGGAATGTACAGAATGCCAATGCAAGAATCAAGACATTCAAACGTCATTTGGCTTGGGTATCTTATCTAACACTTTCATAATACTGTGGTGGAACAAGCCAGTACTACTACTACTACTACAATACTCCAAGCATGTTTATGAGGATAAACAGAATTGTTTCTTGAATTTGACTCTAATGACTTCTAATGAGTCCAGTAATGGAGATGCCACTAACAGAAAATTTTTGTCTATAAAAGCACTAAATAAAATAGTAAAACATACCTTTAGAAGTGTGTTGTACATGTTAAAACCTTCGTCTCCTGATCTGACCTTTCATGTATTGCACAGCTTATTTGTTTTTCCAGTACAGTCTGCTGTTTAAGTGGACTCCAAGCAACCTGTAGAACTACACCACCTCCACGCTCTCTCCCCAGAGACTCGCAAACTTCTGCCTGCTGGTAAAATAGTCTATGATTTAGCAGATTGTGGAGGCGTTCATCGGTATCGCGCAGAGCTTGTTACCAAGTCGGAGAGGCATGTTGAGGGCACTGAAGAAGTCAAAGTACAAGATCCTGATTAGGGTGCCAGCTTTGACCAGGTGGGAGTGGGCTCTGTAAAGCACGCAGATCAGAGCACTGTCCACACCTACAGTAGGTCCAAAAGTATTTGGACACTTTTGGAAACCAAAATTTCTGAATTTCATTGCATTAAATAACAAAATATGAATTAAAATGGCATCTGCAAATAAATAATGATATAACTTCTCTCAGAACTATCTTACTTTCTGAGAGCAACTAAAGTTCAAAATAAGTTCAAGCAACTAATCCTAAAGTGATTTTTCATGGGTGACGTCAGTTCACATAGATGTCCTAGAAGAGCAACTACAGTTTTAGCGATGTTATTTTTTTCTAATATATAATTTAATTAATATACTAAAAAATATTAGTATAGAACTAACAGATAAGCATGTATGTGAGTGCTTTAAGTTTATAGAATTGAGTGAGATCATCTGCATTTCCTAGTCCTCACACCTCCCAGCTGGCACTGGACAGAAGGAGCTGGGCTGGGGCAGGAGGAGTGTGTGGAATGGGTAGTGCCGGTGCTTGTGGATTGGTCTAAGGGGTTGAGTGCTGGTGGTTCGATACCATCCCCCAACCCCTAGTCACACAAAGCCCCAGTAAGAGGGTCTGAGGCAGTGCCAAAGCTTTGAGTCTGTCACATGTCCACTCGTCCCCCTGCCAAAAGCAGGCTAGAGAGGCTGCTTGGCCATGGCAGCTACCAGCCCTTGACAGTTTTGTTAATGGCGAGGTAGTGTGGTGTCCCAGGCAGGCCCAGCTGCCTCATCACCTCTGCCTCCCTCCACACTCGAATAAAAGGGTCCGCTTTCCTGCAGTCTGGCCAATCAGCAGAGCACCAAACGGTTTCAATCAGCTTACTGCAGCATTTGCTGTTCACGATATTGACTTTGGTGCGAGTTTACACTGCCAGACAGTTGTTTTCGTTTGCATTTGTATTGCGAGTGAAATTGGCTCAGTGATTCATGTTTTTCAATGACAGAACACTAAAGGTGCAGGCAAAAAATATCAATTTTCCATTGTCAATAGTGTAGCAATTTAAGATGCACAGCTCACACATAAGAGACTTATAAACCAAATCAGCTTTCTGTTGGTCAACACTGCAATTTTTTGTGAACAACTGAACCCAAAGTGAAATCTGCGAGGGTTATTCCCAATCGATTGGATTCCTATTGAAATGACTGGATTTCAGGTCAGAGCCGATAGCCTCATGGGCAGCACTCCGACATGTAGCCCAACTGTGCTTCGGGCGACGCAAGGTCGAATCCCGGCACACGGTCATTTCCTGAACCCACCGCCATCTCTTTCTAGCATCCCACTTCCTGTCCTTTCCTCAACTATACTATCGGAATAAAGGCAAAAATGCAAAAAACAAATCTTGAAAAATAAATAAATAAAATGGCTGGAATTCGCCCACAGGAAATTCACCAAACAACGATAAATGTGGCCGCAACATAAGACCAAATTTAAAGTGCAACATTCAGTTAAAATTTACTAATGACCAATATTTTAATTGAAATACAATAAAAAGTTTTTCCCCCCAACAAGTATAAATCCACTTCATAAATATGGATGATATCATTAATATAGTGCGCTTTGGGGAAGGTTAACAAAGTGTTCTGATTGGAACCGACACCAGAATGCAAAACTAACTAGATAATTACGTCTTCTCTGGAAAACTCAACCACAGACAGTACAGGCCCAAGGCTAGACCCAGAAAGCAGGTGAGTACAAATGTGGTGGCTTGTTTTAAGCAGAGCCCAGGGCTCTATAAAAACCTTACTGTTTTACAGTATCAGCTGACTGTGCACTGTAAATCTGTCAGGGGCTGTGGGTCTATAGGTATCCTGTGACGAGAAGTGGCTGCCTACAATCCCACCATTATCCCTTCATTATAACTATCAAACACATGATAGCCATGTGAGAGTGTAGCTACACATGCTCATGAACACATGGGGGGGGGTTACTGTACAGGCACCTGTGGAGTCATATATTCATATGGAGCTCCATTCATCTGCACAGATTAAATGTCTGATGTGCTCGAATACCATTTACTCATTCATAATTTACTCTCTTTTCTTGGCCTTGAACAATGCAAATCAGAAATGCAAACTCTTTGTGTCAAACCAGCTTTTTTTATTCATTGAAGAGAGAGGATGTGTTTAATTTCAGACATAAGGGAGTCTGCACGCATATAAACTTGCAAGGCTCTTGTAAAAGCAGAGAAGTCTGTTGTTGTATGTATATACCTTATATAATAATATATATATAATAATATGTATTCAGGATACAGCGATTGCCCATTGAAAAACAGATGTTTAGCTGGAATCCGAGGACCCTGAGCTCTGAATAAAAGCCCCCAAGCAGCCGCTGCCTACTCGTTTCCTTTCTACATATATATCTTGGCACTGCAACATCTGCGATCACAGTTTGTCTTTAACCCTGCTTGGCATTTCAATTATGATTACAGTGTATGCCTGTGACTTATTAGAATGCAAGGCTTCATTAACAGAAGTAGAACACCTCTGCAGCTTCATTAGATTAATCATTCACTTCTAAAGAGTCGTTTAATTTTTAGTAGCATGATTTTAGGGGGAGGCAGGGGCGAGCTGGATGCAGAAGAGTTGGGAGAGAGAGAGTGAGTGAGGATTTGGGAGGTGTGGGGTATAAATTAGCCTTCCCGCCTTACTCTGAGGCACTTATCTCTGCATAGCTATCTGCTGGTGTGAATACATATATGCCTGAGGGACCGAGAGGGACCGAACGCCAGATCACTTTGATCTGAATATCAACTGCCAGAACTATTCTCATAATTAACCCATCAAGACACATCACAACTGGATCCTTCAGTCCAGACAGAGAAAGGCAAGAGCCCTTCTGGGAATAAAGAGGCTTTCTGTGCACATCTCTCCTGCAGACAGGTGCTGCGGTTGGGGGGCAGAGGGCTGCGGAGACTGTTAGGAGCAGCTGCCGTGGGATGCGCACTCCCATGTTGCCGTTTCCCCCGCTAACTTGCTCCAGCTAAATTGCATTGGGGTCTTTAAACCACTTCCCCAAACACAGCCTTTAATCACCACTAAAAGGTTGATCGTTTCCAAGGAGGAGAGAAGGGAGAGGCATTGTGGGAGTCTACAGAGGTGCTAATGGAGAGGTTAATACTGTGATACTGGATTCCAGGGCTTGTTGAAGGAAATCTGTCACTGAAACTGAATGTAAAAAGTGAGACGAGTCAAGTCTTTGGTTTAGAATTGTTAGTCGGCTTCGTCGACACTGTGTTTTTTTTATTGTGTTAAAGGGATAGTTTACCCAAAAATGAAAATTCTGTCATCATTT